CATACAACCCTTCAATTTCATAGTTCCCAGCGCGCAAATCATTCTTGTCGAATTTGTTGTCGGCCGCATTTCTTTCCCTAGCATCTCCTGTGCTATTTGTGACTGCTTTTGTCGTCGGGTCGACATTTCAAGGTTGTCGGCTCAAAATGTGCCTAATTCTTCCATCCTCCGCGCGGGTGACAATCTCACTTCACATCCTGAGATTATGGCAACATTTGTCAACTATCCCGGCGACAGTACAAACTGTCTAGATGGGCTTGTACTGGCGAGGGAAGGTTTTGAAACCGAGGAACCTCACCAGCTTCGAATATGCAAAGGTTGTCTTCGAGATTTGAAGAAAAAAACAATGCCTTCCGCTGCCTTGGCCAACGGCCTCTGGGTTGGAGACTTGCCCGAGGAACTTGCCGATTCTACTTGGGTAGACTTAGTAGCCGCCCGTCCTGTAAGAACCAGTGGCATGGTTTTCGGATTGGAGCAGCTAAAGGTCGGCTCCATCGCCGGCTCCGCGCAACGAATGATGAGGGGTACCTTCACTTTTGTTTTTCAAAGCGCTTACGGCGTTCAGTCTGCTCTACCGTCGTGCGACACGGATATCGCCGGATCGATGACTTGTGCTATCGTCGGCCCTAAGCCGTCTGAGGCTCAAGCCGTCTGAGGCTCAGCTTAGAAAAATCTTCGGGGCACGGCGGCAAAGAATAAGAGACCTTATGAGCCTGCAGGAGGACGCTTCTAATCGGCTAGCAGGCACGCACGTTCTTTTCAAGCGGGCGACATGTCCGACGAAAATCTTGCGAGCTTTCCCGAGGACGGATCTGTCCCACGAGCAATCAAGAGGTCTTTCATTGTCACGTCCGACCCAGACAAGTCGCGACAGAGATCCCGTTCGACTTATGTTCCAGACAACCGCGAAGCCGAAGAGCCCGTCACACGTGACGATACGACCGCCGACAACGAAGATGAAGTGGTGATTGACAACGTTGGAGTAATTCCATCGGGTGAGGACGTGTCCGCAGAGGGACGTCCCGATCGCTTGAGAGCTCTGGGGGCATCTTTGACCCCACCAAGCGCCAGCCTAGCCGAGAGAGCCGCGGCCACGGATGCTGCAAAAGCTGGGCGCCCGCCGCCGCAACCAACGAAAAATATGCTTGTTATCCCCCATTCTGGCAGAATGGTGGAAGATTTCAACGAACCGGGGACGCTGATTGCAGCATATTTTGATCTTTTTCCGCATGCCGTGGGCGGTCCGTTAGACAAACGCGCTCGGAAACTCACGTGCACGAAGTGGGCACGTATTCTTTTGCAGCGTCGTGACTCTCGTTTCCGGCGAAGCAGAACTTTCGTTTTTTGCCTAGCTGCTATAATCTTACGAAGAGAAACCATTTCCGATTCTTATTGGAAACTGAACGGCAGAGTATCGCGGGGTGTGGCGCCCATGGTGGCCGGCATTACCGCTGATGATCTTCGTGCTGCCGCGACAGAAATGGAAGGTAGTTCTGGATCTTCGACGGTTCTTTCCAATCGTCCGGCAATCCGCAAGCTTATCCAAACTATGGAATCTGTCAACAGCTGCGCCACTTGGACGATTTTCAACAACAGATCGGTTCAAACAAGAAGACCAAGCACTAGTCAATGAATGTTGTTCCTACACGTATTCTTCTTCGCGATTTCACTACTTGTCTTTTTATCTCTGCATCTGTCTGTATTTTTTTGTTTTTTTGAGCATTTTAGACTAAAAGTCTCGCCAGTCGTTTGGCAGAGTTTGGCTTGCTGTTTGAATGCTTTTTGTCGCCAAATCGCCATGAGGCCCCACGAATGGGGTGCAGAATCGCCGGTGGCACGTGGCGCTCCGGCGAGGGCGGGAACCGTTTCCGTTGGACAATGAGCGTCACGCGGAGATCGCGATATTTTTTTTTTCCCAGAGGGCCAGGGTTCTACAAGGTTTAACGTCTTGTCGTGGTCCTTCCAGCTTTTCTACGATGTTCTCTTTGCAGTCCTTGATATTTGCTGTGCTTTTGTTTTGGTGACTATAAATACATGAACAGTGCGACTTTTTCCGGCTTTCTGCGCGCCTACCTTCGTCCCCTCTCTCGTATCCCTCATTCTTCCACAACTCGGTGTTTTTCGCGCTACTTCATCAATCCGCTTCGGGGTTACGACTCCTTCTTTTCCTCGGCCCCTTCACGTCGCGTCCGTGCCGTCGTTCGCTTACGTTTCAGTGAGCTTCGTGACCGATCTCTTTTTTTCCTTTTCACCACCGATCATCACGGCACAACTCCCTTACATGCATCTTGCGTGCACGCTAGACTAAAAAGCAATTGGGGAAGCAGTCGTGGCGAAGCCCACGACAATCTGTTAAGTAGAGCTCTAGACTATCAAAACTGTAGTCTACGAAAGAGCGTTTGGGTCTTTTCATTGGTCGCCCGGTTCGCATGGTCGATGTAAAATACAACACACACACACACATTTAGGATCACGGCCTTTAGAAACATTTCGTGTTTTCACCGCACTGAGACTGACGTTTTTTCATTGTCAGCCGGTTCGCGCGGTCGATGCTATTTAGAAGGGGCACAGAGAATTTTCGCGTTTTGGGCATGTTGCTACGACCGTTTGTCTTTCATTGCGGGCTTAGCTCAGGCGAAAATTAACCATGCAAGGCGTCACTCGCAGAAAAGACAGCGAGAAACGGGGGTTGCATGCAATTTGGTCCGAGATAATTACGGTAGTCTGCGCTTGGCAAGAACACGCCTTGGGCACTAGCGTTCTTTCACTAAGGCTTCTCCGAATTTGTCTTCGGCACAATGATAATCCATGTGGGTGGGTGATTCACTTGGCGCCAATTCGGCAAACTCGTTTCTACGGAGCACCGAATTTTCGAGGCTACTCTGTGCGGATCATATTGTGATACGCCGTTGCTTCTTGGTTACGAACTTGGCTTGGCCGTTCAATAGTCCTCGATAACCCGAGAAGGGGCTTGGCGTAGGGTTTGGGCCGGGGCCTTCCGCGCGGGTCCTTGTATTTTTGCTGGGAAGATCAATGAGTCTATGTACTGTAGACACATGTATAAGGCTTCGTCAATCAACCTTCTCTCGCAGGGAGTCGTTGTCGTTGGCTCCGTGATGCAACCAGCCTGCCTGATGAAATGGCTCGGGAAGATGAGACCCACTCGTTGCTGGTCATTGTGTGTGTATTCCGCAGAGATTCCAATGTCTCGTTTTCTGGGGGCTTCCTGGCACGGTAGAAAACTGTGTTTCGTTCGACAAAGAACACCCTCCGTGTTCACCAGACCGCGACCAACTGCCAACATGCCCTTCGCGCTGCGGCTAGAAATAAGCCGGTTCGAACTTGAAACTCAAATCGTTTCTGCAAACACGTAGACTTTCTTTCTCTTGATGACAATTGCTGACAATCTCGCATCGTCATCCTGAATCTTGCAAAGCATCTGAACACGGTTAGAAAGTGACTCGCTGTAGTTGGCCAACGTGCCAACACAAGCAACGCGCCTCTCGTCGATGTACATCCACCACAAGCTCAGCCTGTACTTCCATCTACGCACCAATTATTGAGAAAGTTGAGTGCATGAATTTCTACAAGAAATGGCATTTCCTATGGAATCACCGCTATGTAGCTAAGGCATTATTCCTAACTTAAACTTCAGAACACTTCACATCGGCTCCCATGCCATACTTGAAGTGCCACGTACACCCTCTGGCGCCCAAAGTAAACGAAGCAAAAGTCCACTGTAAACAGCAACGCTTCGTATCGTGTGTCCCAGGGATGACAAAAAACATGCTGTTATCCTCGCCCTGAGGCACATGAAACATCAAAACGATATTCTGAGGCAGCACGCAATGGCCTGCCGTAAGTGACACAAGATACCATACCCCGTGGACCAATTGTCAAAGCTCGGTAGCTCCACACCATTAAGAGGGTCGATGCCGAAAATGTTGGTGTGGGAACCCTCTCGTCGAGAGCTTTCCGACAACGTCTCGCTGGGTTTACGAGTCCTCTTCGTCGTGGAGCACTCGAGCTTTAAAAATCGGGGTAGAGCGGGTGTGGTATCTAATGTCACCTACAGTATTGTGAACCAAGTCAACCCAACGCGACTGCTGCCACCCAGTATTCGCGGCTTACTGTGAACATGTGCTGCTACCTTCGCTAACCCACACGGCACAACTGTTGAGCGTCCAACATGGAATCTCTGGCTCCCGTTCGTCTACAAGCGTGAGCGGCCATCGAACTGAAAAGGCTAGGAAGTAGATCGCTGGCTCCCGTTCTACTACTAGACCGATAACGCCTGAAAAATATAGCAAGTAGCCCACAAGGTATCCACTTGTCGTTGGTCCCCATCCTTCACAAGCTCCAGGGTGTTCCCAAACTACGTCAACATAGACAGGCGAGCCAACCAGTGCTCCCCTTTCCAAACCGAATCGAATAAGCTGGGCCATCGATGCGGCGATAGTCCAAGCACAAGCGAACGAAGTCCAACAGAAAGGCAGGGGGCACCCCCTGCAGGTTGTTGCGTCGCTCTTCGATCGGCTACAGAGCCGATGCGGAGTAGGCATTAGATTGACAAGCAGAGTCTATCCCTGTTTGAGCCAGCCGGCAGACGAAAGGCGCGGCGCACGCGACAGTCTCGACGCAAGGGCATGCCCACGCAATTTCAATTCATTCCTGCACTTCGAGGTGGAAAGCACACGCCACAAACTATGAAAAATGCAAATTAATTTACCACGCGCCTTTCGCGAGGTTGTAGGACAATTTTTCATCGTTTTTATCCCATCACTACCGGCACCCTATCAACTGGCCGCCCAGGGAACGAAGTGGAGAGTGGTCACAACAAATCCTCCACCAAAACACGGGAATTGGTCTTCGTTCGGTGGGGAAGTATCCATCCGGGATGCGGCCTGCGTCGCAATGCCACCAAAATCAATACGCCCTTGCTGTTTATCGCCGCCTCGGTCGGAAAGGAGGATGCCGCGGTGACGCGGCCAGCGGTGGCGCTACCCTTGGCTCGCGCCTTACAAGATCGTCATTGTAAGAGCGTTGGGAAATACAGCAAGCGTACAAAAACACCGGAACTGCACGAAGTGCCGATATCTTGGCGTGCACCGAACGGAGATCGTGTTGACGTGACCAAACACCGCGTATCGGATCGGCACGAGCGGAAATTGTCTTGACGCAAGCTGTTTTCCTTGGCAGCACCGGAAGACGGAACGCCGAAGAAGGCACTCGCCTGGGCATGTAGGTACTGCAATGCCGGAGCACTTGCAAAGAGCCACAATTTCAGCCGAGGGTTCTCTCGTTTTGGCAACTTCTAATGTGCGGCGTTGCGTGGTATGGATCTTTGTGGCCACCCGCGGCGCTACCAAGGCTAGGTAGACACGCTCTCTCTCATGTGTGGGAAATTTCCACATCAGGCGAAACATATGCCACGTCCGTCGTGCATTCCTTGCGGGTGGGTACAGGAAGGCGCAGCCGGGGCCGTGCTATGATCAAGACGACTTCCAATCCCTGTATTGCATCTTGCAAACGCCCATGGGCATAAAAAGAAACTCACCGATCTGAATGCCGTAGGTCGCTCCTGCGCTCGTGTACTCTCCGGCAGCGTCTTCCTCTTCCTCTTCATCGACCTCCTGCGTCACGCTCTGGAAATGCCTCGACGACCGTTCCGACCTGTCGACAACAGAGGGGAAAGTGGGGTGGTGGCAAGTGCCATCACCACGTTGAATGTCTCAAAGCAACTATGAATGCAAGCAGTGGCAACCTTTTGCGTTTCACATATTTGATAATTTGCTTGATCATTGACCGGGCCTTCCTATCATATCCGGGCCCGGGTAATTGCTACTAGACAGACACAGCCAGGCGCTCGGGCCCACTCAACGTCCTGCAATACTTTCACAAGTCTGTCTCTCTCTCTCTCTCTCTCTCTCTCTCTCTCTCTCTCTCTCTCTCTCTCGGCATCCGTTACTATTTCGACAGACGGAGCACGAGCAGTTGTCACAAGTCCTCGTTCTCAAACGTCCTATGCGCAAGCAGCGGCTTCCAATTTGGTGCCGCATCGGTGAGATGGGTGTTAGCAATGATGTTCAAACATAGCTGCATCCTGCATTCAACCATACTCCCCAAGGTGTTACTAATGTTGGCAGAAACACAATTTTGTTGTAATAGTGCCACAGCAGTTAAGCAGCAGCCGCACGCGCCGTCCGAAGAACACAACATCCGTCAACTATATACCGTCTTGAAAAGGGCAAACGACATACACGCCGAATAAAGCACGGTATCTATGAGCGTACGAAACCTCGAAGGGAGTGAGGCAAGAATCCCAAAAGAAAGAAAACAGGCCACGATCTAGACTACGTACACAAATACCAGAACGTCAAGAGCAAACGTGCTGCAGGGATGTATAGGTGTACCTATTCGGGCTTCTGTGCCCTTTTCTTGCTAGTTTGCGTGTTCTTTAGATCTCCTGATGGCTCTAGCATTTTTGTGACCACGGACCGCGTCTTTGCTAGATTTTGGGATTAGCAACTGACACGAGTTTAATGTGAAGACAACAACAACAACAACAACAACAACAACAACAACAAGATCAAACGCGGACATCTTGGGATCCTTGTTCGTATTATTCCTATTGTAGGACTGCCGCGTACATATGACGGTTGGCCCCTTGTCATTACGGTACATGCAAAAACTGGAGCTCCACGAAAACAAGCTTTGCATGTGAGGAGGTTGACCGTTCTTTAACGAGGCTGACATTACACACGTGGGAGTTGTTCCTTTGCAAGCAGCACGGGATTCTTCGCTGCGGCAGGTTGTTTTATAGCAGGAGGGTTGGTCGCTGCTGCTGTTCGAGTGAGACTCTGTCTGGTTGTTCGCTGGTGCATGTGCTCGGGGCATCTTATAAAGGAACCAGATGGCACAAACAACAGCCCACATCCGCACGCTTTTTTCTGGGTTTGAGCTTGGTTCGAACTACGGCACCTACCTGGTGCTCTCTATCTTTTCGCCACACACACAAACCTCGTTGAAATCAATGAACATGTACATACCGTAGTACCAAACAGTACCGTCACCTCTGGGTCACGATGCAGCTGCCTAACATATCTACAGGGAAGTCAGCGCAGGTCAGCGCAGACATCGGGCGACTGGTTGAGGCTGTCGTTGCGAGGATGGTGTATACCGCGTGGTTTGAATGTCCTGGCGGACACGTCCCTGGCCGACACCATGGCGATGGTGGCGCGGGGCGACATACGTGTTGGAGTCCATTTTTTTTCGACACGGCTACACACCCGGTGGGGTGTTCAGGCCGTGTATTAACGTTTATTTTTGTCACCTAAATTGAATACCTAAATTGGATGAACCAATTTGGGTTTTTGGCCAAAAAGGGCTTTCGCACCGTTTTAACGCAATTTTGCCACATCGAAGTTCAGCAACACCCAAATGCGGCGGAATCGCTGCCGCGAGGTGACGTGGTGACCCAACCAGGTAGAGCGATAGACCATGTGCACCACACGGGAGCTGTAAAAATATATCAGCACACACACGAAGCTAAGCATCAGCAGGTGGTGCCAGCGGTCCAAGCCTCGTCCTCAGGCTTGCTCTACGACTGTTGTTTGGACTGTCTCGCTGCACACAACCGGCCGTTGACTATTGACATCGCACATATTGGAAACCAACTTCCCCAGCAACCCAACCAGCGCGAAAAGTTGGCACGCTCACAGATTCATTGCAATAATACAGCCATCTCCTAGCAGCGGGCAGTGAGCGATGCGTGTGGGTGCCGCACGGTCAGCCACATGCAGTCCCGTGAGGGGTAACGCCAGCACGAGTTCAGCTCAACACGGCGGGGTGCATAAGGGGCGCAGCGCAACTCGGGTACTTCGATTCAGCAAAAACAATTCAATTTGCAATTGCGTTTTACTTCACCCAATATGGAAGTCCCGCTTTTCCGGGCAGAGAAAACCTCATCGTGTTTTTTCCTGTTGACCAATCAGCGTCATTGCCGGGGGGGGTTTCTCGGACTTTCGATAAACACAACAACTGTGTCTCTCCAAAGCAACTTACAGAAGAGTACCATGATTTTTTCCATGCCCAGCGCAGTCAAAGCGCCTGCGCGCCTCTTCCCTCACCTGATTGCGGAAGACGCGCTGCACTCAGACTCTTGCTCCATATGATTTCGTCCGAAACGATCAGACGCCTGCGAGGGACACCACCGCCTTCATCGCCCTATTTGGCACTGCCATTTGCTGGAGAGCCTGGCGAACATGCTGGTCCGAATGACAAAATGCTGGCGGAGGCTGCATCTAGCTGCTGCTGCCGTTGCACCTCCTATGGCCTGGCTGGCAAACCTTCCCATGGGTTGCTGCGCAGGGAACTCGGTTGACGATTTTCAACCGGTGGCCCCGTTCTGGCACCAGGAGTCAGCTGATGGTCCTCGGCTCTGAAGGCCTGCCTCCAAGGCCCCCAGAGGAGTCGTCCAAGCTCAGCTGTGTGTGTGTACATATGTGTTGTTGCTGCTGCTTCTGCTGCTGCAGCAGCAGCTGTGTGCTGCAGTGCGCACGGGGGGATGCGGCACATCCTTGTGCTTCGTGAACTGTTCGGGGTTTTGATTGGTCATGGTTCGTGTGCTTCGTGGAAATAGAGGAGTCTGATTGGCCGATGCCTCGTGGGTTCTGTCCCGCTTTTTCCTTTATTTTTATCAT